AATACCAAGTGAGTTTCATTTGGTGTTTTTTCCAGATCTGATATTTCCAGCTCATTTCCTAAGGCAATCTGAGCTTGGCTGTTTAGAAGAGACTGCAGATCAGCAACAGTGACCTTAAGGATATTTTTTTAACAAGATACTTTATTTGCCGATCATAGTCGACCAGTTTGGTGTTCGCTGGAGACATTCGTGGGGATGGGTGATGTCCTCTCTTATATCAATACTTATCTTGGATAACTTACAATCAAGCAGCGCGCCAAACTGGTCGTATGTTATTGGCGCAGCGGGAGGAGTGGAGGTCGTAGTAGAATTATTATCTACTTGGCTGTCATTTACCTCCCCCGCGGAGGTCTCTAGAACCTCGCCGCATGACAAGTTCGAGTCATCCGCAGCCGTAGTGCATATAGACTAGGAGATGGTGACAGAAAATATTCTCCCATTTTCTCCTACATGCCTTTTTAAGAATTGATAACTAACCCTAAAATATGAAAGATAGAGGGGTTACGAGCCCTTGCGCGCTTGCACGTCATAAAGAAAATGGCTTCTCTTTGTGTAAAGAATTTTAGTATTTTTCCGTGACATTATATTGCATGCCTTTGTAATATAACGAAGTTGGAACAAATTTAAGCTATAATAATTGATGGCATGCAATTCGCAACGGCCGACGAGGCTCAAAGGGTTACGTAGAAATGAAAAAAAAAATAGAACATTTCCTAATAGTGGAGAGAGTTGTCTATGAACCTCTGTGTTGTCCTCCTTGCGTCACGTGATCCGATTGCAGGAATGGCATTTCCAATTCCTTTTTAAAGCTGGTATATTTTCTTTTCTTTGTAATATGCGGAGGATATGTTGTAACTTTTGTAGTGATAGCATCCCTTGCACGCAGAGCAACTCAACTTTATAACAGGCGAAACAAATAATTTTATTTTATGTATGTAGCTGCTTTATTATGTTCTAGTTACTTATTTCTAAGACGCGCAAAGGCAAACAACGCGCTACAGAGAAACTATTATGTGCTACGAGTCGTAGATGAGTAAGCGGGACGAACAAGTTTCGTAGTCCGCAGCAATCCCCGTAGCGATTTATGTCACTGCGCCGACGTTTCGTGTCGATTAGTTGCCTCTTCGGGTGTCTTCGAGTTTCTTCGCCAAATTAATTTACCAAATTCTGAGATATATTCACTACCTAAAATTATAAAACAAGCTTATATCAATAGTAACTAGAGACGGGGCGACTAGTCGGGATAGCCGACTATTCGGCATCTTTTACAGTCGGTGACTAGTCGGCGACTAATCGGCAAAATATGCCGATTATAATCGGTGGTTAGCAAATTAAAGCAACATTTATTCCTAATAATTGTATTTTATTATACTTTTTCATTAATCTGCTTTTCTAGCTGCTAGCTGTTTTTATGAAAGTTACCTAGCTGCGCTTCATTATATTAATTATTAATCTGTTACCATATTATAAGAAATTTAAGAATCAGTCAGAAATTAACTACGAGTATCATCAATCAATGACACATATATAACAAATAAAACAAAATAATATAGGTACCTTAATAACATTTACAAGGCATCATAGAGCCATAGTATTACTTTAAATTTAGTTAGTCTTTATTAAGAATAATAAAATATAAAAAATAGTGTGATGGAATCATTGTACAATATTAAAATAAATTGGCAACATTTTTTTTAAATGAATTTGAATTTGTCAAAATTAAAATGAATGATTTGTTAGGACTTATAACCTTTACAAATCCTGGAAAACAATATTGTTAAATGAATGAATGAAGGAATGAATTTATTTTCTCTTCACAATAGGTGGTAAACTTAATGCTAAGTATTACAAAATTGCCAGACTGGTTCCTAACTTGTGAGATAAATGTTGTTAAATGTTTTGGAAAGGCGAGTAACTCGAGTCAAAAAAGTCACTCGAGTTTTATCTTCATTCAAGTGGCACTCGAGTGACTAGGCTATCACTGGCGAGTGACTGGAGTGAAAAAAATTCACTCGAGTCCCATCACTACAACACGCTCGGCGTGGCCGCACGATGGCTCGTACATACTACGCATTCACGAGGGTGCCGAGTGATGACGACATAGCCCGAATACCTCCGAAAGGCTAGTATTAAAATGATCGGCATCGCCGACTAGTCGGCCGACTGATCGGCAATTTGAAAACCAATTAGTCGGCTAGTCAGCTAATCGGCAAATACCATAGTCAGCCTATCTCTAATAGTAACATTTAAATTAGTTCTTTGATAGGTGCCGGTTTTTTTTGCAAGAGTTTATTTTGTGAATTCAGAATGTAGGTACGGAACACGACTTATGTGTGCGTGGAGCACTCAGAAGTTTTGCGAAACTAAAAAAGGTTTTATGTTAATAGTAAAAACTTAATAATATTATTTACATGGTAGAGCCATGCGGCAGCTATATTAGTATTATAGTTGTAGCACGAATTGTTCGGCTCGACCGGGGAAGGACGACGCTCTCACAGAATACCAGCGTAAAATAGCAGCTTAATGCCGCTGTGTTTCGTATGGTGAGTGTAGAGAACCGGAGACTCTTTTTACTGGAAAAGAGACATTCCATCTTAGTCCTCACGGGTGACAACGCATCTGCATTTTGATTCGCAAACGAGGATAGATGTAGATGTCTATGGGCCACAGCAACCACTTACCATCACGTGGAGACTGTGTGCTCGTTTGTCACCCTATCCTATAAAAAAAATATTTCCTTTTGTTTTTATTATTGACTTTCCACCACCACTTATGCAAAGTTTTATGTGTTGGTAGTGGCCGCCTAGGGGCACAAGGTTAAAAAGGGACGCGCGCAGAAATTTTAAAACGAAAAAAATTTATCTATTTGATTACTCCTACATCGTCCTCACTCTCTCATCACAGTTTTCATTCACGCCCTACCTATTAAGGGTACTCGTGTCCTAATTATTTTGTAACTATAAACCATTTTATAAATTATAATATAGTTTATTTGTAAAATAGGTAGTTATAATTTATAATATATATCCGCTAGAGAGGCGCCGATGAGGTGCTATCCTAAGACACTGTCGATATTTAATCTGCCTCTGGTGGTAGAGCCACACTTCAGCCAACGTTGCAGCGCGAATGGATTAATTAGACCCGGGAAATGATGACGCATTCACAGTTTACTAGCGTAAAACAGCTGCTTAATGCTGCTGTGTTTCATAAGGTGAGTATAGGAAACCGGAGACCCTTTTTACTGTTAACGAGGCATTCCATCTTAGTCCTCAGGGGTGACAAGCATCTACATTTTAATTTTTAATAGAGAGTAGATGTAGTTGTCTATGGGCCACATCATCAACACCCATTTAGTATCGGAAGGAGGGCAAAAGTTATGTTATAGAGTTTATAGAGAGAGTTCTTTTATAAAGATTTCTTTAAACCTTTATTATACACCTTAAAATAAGGTATATAAAGGGCGGGCTTAATGTCTCATGGCGTTCTCTACCATTCAACGCTGAATGATTTGATTGATTTTATGATATTTGATTTGAGAAATTAGAATATTAGTCTTTCTATAGGTATATAAGTTACTTATAAGACAATATCTGTAGTGTAATAGTTTTCTTGCACACCAAATAACAGCTGTAATACAGCCGTTATACAGCCCCTTTAATGTTAGTACAGCTACTGTACAGCGCTACTAACGCATAAAGCTGCGTAATTTATGCCAATTTTTTATTAATAAGAACTGTATAAGCGCTTATACAGCTTTTATAGAGCCTGAAAATACAGCCTCTAGTATAAAAACGAACTTCAATACAGCTCGTATACAACTTACATGCTGCTTGGGTGTATTTCAGATTGTTTAATTAAATTAATTGTACTTTGAAGCTTGAAGTCCTCTGAACTACCACAACTCTCCAAAAGTAAGAGTAAAGTAAAGTTACAGGCTTCGTTTCATTTAAGAGGGCTATGTCAAGAAAAGGGTAGCCGCGATGTCCCAATTGGTGAACTTCACATGCTTTCGAAACTGTAACATGCAGGTTTCCTAACATTGAGTTATAATGTACGTAGTACATTAGTACATTTCTTTCCTAACGATGTTTCCCTTCACCACTGAGCACGTGGTAAATACTCTACTTAAATAAAAAAATATAAAAAAATATTTTTAACAGTGGTAGAGCCACGCGGCAGCTTTTGCTGTCGCACGGATGGGCCGGCTTGAACCGGGGTGGTACCACGACCTCACAGAATACCAGCGTGAAGTAGACGTTTACTTCTGCGTTTCGCTTGGTGAGTGTAGGTGGCCGGAGGCCCTTTTTACTGGAAATGAGGCATTCCATCTTAGTCCTCACGGGTTGTCACCCGTCAAATCCAAATGCAGATGCGTTGTCACGCATCTGCATTTGGATTTGTAATAGAGGATAGATGTAGATGTCTATGGGCCGCAGTTACCACTTACCATCAGGTGAACTATGTGCTCGTTTGTCACCCTTATCCTATAAATAAAAAAAATTAATTGAATATATTATGTAATCAAACATTTTTCGTGATTCAGTCACAGAAATGTGACAACAATCCGTTCTTGTTTACATACTACCTGCGACGCCATGTAGACATCGGCGACCATCTCCCTCACCCTCACAGCGATGTTATCTGTTATTCAAAATCACCCTTATAATCATCATTAACATGATTCTAGGTTCTACACTGTAAACTAAAGTTGTTAGTTGTCTGTGTGTATGTCGTACATAATGATTACAACAACTTTTATGAATACTCATGGGTAAGAAAATATTATATGACCTTGGATGAGGATTAAAACGACCAACGTGACTAACAGTGTTTAGTAAGAAAGCTTTTTTTCACCGTAAAGAAGTAATTCGTTATGTTTGTACTTGTTATATGACCCGGCATCGATTGGTCAGAGTGGGTATGGCTTACCGTCCGATCATTAACCCAGTTGTGCGGCGCGTCGCGGCGCGGGCGGGCACGTGAGCCCGCAGTCCCGCGCCATGCAACTTTCCGAAACACCGCCGCCGCCGCTCGCTCCACTTTGGGATCGGATACTGAGAGCGCGGGCTTTGCCACCAGATATCGACGTCGAACTCCTCTACATCGCCATCAGGGATCGCCTCTCACATCCAGAATGGGAAGTGCGTCTTCACGCACTTCGAGTTCTCGCCGATCTCTTACCCTTATCAGGAAATGCCCTCTCGTTTCCTTTCGATCAAGTCATCGACAATTTGGGACACGGTTCCCCAAACGTTAGGAAAGCAGCACTAGATGCTCTTAAAGTTTTCTGTACATACTGCGAGGATACAGAATGCGCGGCTAATGCTTTACTGGATAAATGTTTATATAATAACATTAGGCCACATTCCGCGAGTATTGATACAAAAGTGAATGTTATAACCGGTTTAGTGCTTTCCATCCCATCCGTGATGGCGATTTTAAAACGAAGAAATCCAAACCTGGATATGTTTCCAGTTTTTAACACGTTAGGGGATAAACTTTTTGATCCAGTACATAGAGATGTCGCTCTACGCTCTCTTATGAAACTTCGGAGAGTTTGTAGACCACGTGACTACATGCTGTCCTTTTCGAGACTAGATCCCAAAGTGCAAGATAAATTTCGTTTACTATGTGAAAAGTTCGATGAAGATTCTCTTGATGTGTACTACGCTCCTAGAAGAACAAATTACAGTAGTAACGATGCTCAACATTTAATGAAAATTAATCACATTTTTAATAATAACTTAACTCCAGTGCGAGTTTCCTCTGATTCGTCTTCAGAAAATTCGTTTACAGTGCCGTATTATACAAATAATTATGCCAAAGTAATAATCGAAACTGAAATTAAATTTGATTCTGATACAGCAATAACAATGACTGTATTAGAACAGAACGAAACTGAATCCGAGAAAAACACGGGAAGCGATGAAGAAGATAGCATTGATAGGAATATGTTAAAATATAGTGATGACGAGTCAGAGGACTCTGACGTAGTAGTGAAGAAAGTGAGATTTGGCGGTGAGAGTGTTAAGATTCGAACGCCAGATAGTGATAATATAATCACTAGTGAAGAAGATAACAACCAAAATCCTTCCGCTTTGCAAGAAAACCATAATGTTGAAGAAGATTTACCGACGACGCCAAGTATAGTAAATAAAATAAACGACATAAAGCGAGAGGTAAATGAACGAGAAACTCGGATAGGTCATACAAAAAAGAGCGCCATACCACTTCCTGTCATAACTAATCGGACACGTAAAGAGAATATTTTAGTTAATAATAATATTAAACCAAAATCAAAATCATTGAGTGAATTATATGATTATTTTTACAAAAGAATGGAGGGTGAAGAAAGAAGGGCAAGAGAGAAATCGAAATTTGCTTTAACGTTAACGGAAGTACGATCGCCGGAAAAAATTCCTAGTCCGGTAGAAACACATAAGGAGATAGAGGTACTCCATAATCTTCAGAGAAGTCCAACTCTATCTCCAAGAAGACAACAAACAAGAGTTCACATAGAAAAGGATGGGTGAGTAGTATTTGTTATGAATGTTACTGTTTCTAGCTATTTAAGTCCACTGTTGAACATAACCGCCCATAGATCGCCTCACAGGGAGGATACTAGCCGTCTGTTGCCTCTTACTATGATATGGCGTAGTGGATATTCTTAGGGCCGCGGGTACGAATACTGCACGGAACATGTATTTATTTGTATAATCTACAAATAATTGTTCTGGGTCTGAATGTTTGTACTTGTGAAATTTTTTGAATGTTTTAAACTGCCCCCACGATACAACAGAAAATCCTAGTATTTTTTAAAGGAAGAAGAAAAAAAATTTACCTTGGACAGTAATAAAGCCTAAGTTAGCATGTAACAAAACCATTATTTTATGTTATTATACATAACTTTATATAAAGTTAAGTAAGAAAAATTGTCGGATAAACTGCATTACTGAAAAATAAAAGAGATTAAAATTAAAAATTATGAAGGACATGCAACATTTACATGTAAATGTTAATGATGAAATGGCATGTAAAGAGGACATGTAGAGTCTGCCAATACGCGTAGCTACAGAGAGGTAGACTTTTCCTTGCCCTACAATCGTCAGAAATAAGAAGAGGCCTGTGCCTAGCAGTGGAATGGTTATATAGGGGCTATATTTAGTTTAATTAACAACCTATATTATAGGCTGTTACTTTACTATATTTCTTATTTCAAAAAAGAAATGTGATAATAATGTGTAAGAATAAAAGATGTCTACGTTTAATTTATTATAAACGCGCGTGATAAGTAGTGATTTAAAAAAGTTCCTCTCACTCATTTTACTAATTTATATTTTACTAGCTGACCAGGCAGACGTTGTTCTGTCCTTTTCGACGATCATTTGCTTTCCTGAAAAAACTCCTGAAATTAGCAATAAAACAAATTGAGGGTCACTTATCGGGATTAAAAGTATCCTATCTCTCAAGTTGGACCAAACTGCGCACAGTGTGCAAAATTTCATTGAAATCAGTTCAGTAGTTTAGGAGTTCATCGCGAACAAACGTGACACGTAATTTTTATATATAAAGATTACTCCAAGAACGTTGCAAGTTTCTATAGATCCTGCAACTGCTATAGAGTTTGACGCTCCGTTCAGATTTCAACTCTACTATCGGTGAAGAAGTCAACAACCTCGAACGTCGTTCGTACCGAAATTGGTGCCCTTATCACATAATTTATATTTTTGGTAGGATATCATTAATTTTTGCAAAGATGTGATCGCACCATTGCGTTAAAGGCAATCAAGATAGATGCACTTATGTAATTTGCTAGTCAAATCTCTATTCGTATAAATATACTTATTGTACCTGTTGACCCAATAAAATGATATAATTTAGACGAGCGTGGGTTGATACAATTGGTGTACGAGGTCTATTCGGTTTCTAAAGATAATAATTCAATTGTATTTGACATTGAGTAGCTACTAGTGTTTCTTTTCATAGGGAAATGCGCATATCCACCTCGCGGGGAAAACGACGCGTTATGTCGGACTCTCACCTACTAAATCTCCATGGTGTTCCACATCCGCCCTTTATTGGCAGGGCTACGGGGAGTAAAAATATTGTCTATACTGAAATATTAAAAATCAATCAATCAATCAATGATTTCAAAAACCGTGTGAAACCGCGGGGAACATAGTAATAGTCACAAAACGAACCAGCACTTCATCAGATAGTATATAGTACAAATAATCGGCTACTGGAGCCCATAAAAACCTGTAACCAACAATGCCTCACAGCCTGTTATTATTCTCTTTCTTACACTTTAAACCGAACAGTGTAATGTCGGAAAGGTGTTGAATGAATAGGACACGTGTTGCCCAGTTTAAGACTGTCGTGGGGGCTACACTACACCAGCAGTAGGTGAATGTACTGCTGTTTGCTGCCAACCAAATCCAACTTCTGAGCAGAAAGTAATCCTTTTCAAACGGCTTAAAAAAGGGGAGGTTCTCAATTCTACTGTATTTTTTTGTGTGTTAGCTCAGAACTTTTTTTTAGGTTTCGTGTGGTCCTATATAAATTTGATTAAGATCTGACCAACTACTGGTCAGACAGAGTTATCCTTAATAATGCGTATTTAATGACTTCGACTACATTGATGATGTTCTCATTTTATTTATATTGAAGTCGGTTGTACAAAATTTTATTATTTTACCACTTGTTCTTCATAAGCCCCTAAAAAAACGTTTCCCGTTGTATCGCGAATTTGCCTCAATATTCACGCTCGTCAAGCGTATTGACGATCGCAGCACATGACGTCTTGCACTTTGGATTTGGACGTCGGTGTACGTACTTTTAACGTTTGTTATAAATACATGGACCGGTTGCAGCGCCATCTATCGGAGACCATAAGATTTTTCGGACATTTTCCATAGTTACCTCTTAAGACACCCACGGGACGAAATTGCTCTTACAACGGGTAGAGCTACGAGGGAATGTCTCTGGATTCAATCCATATATTACATGAAATGCATTATTCATATTACTGTACTACTGTACTGAACTGTATAGATTTCGACAGATGTTTGTACTTGTGAAATTTATGTATGTAAACTGCCCCACGATACAGGAGAAAATCTTAGAGTGGAGGTAACATTTTAATTTAAAAAAAAAAGATTCGAAGGAAAATTAAATGTAGAAGGATTAAGGCGGTCTAGCCGCCTTATACAGTGAATAATAATGCTAATTTTTGTTATAATATAGAATTTATAATAGTACTTTTGAGCGCTATATTATGAAAACCTTTAAATTTAAATGTCAAAGTGATAATATCGTTTTTAATAAACGTTAAAAGTAGAAAAAATCTTATTCAGGTTTTTACTGAACTTAGTGGCTTCATCCCCGCCTGAATCACTTATGCTTTCGCCGCGACAGCCGTCGCCGCTGCATAAACACTACAACTGGGAGGGCTTGGAGATCGTGCCACCTCATGTATGCGACCAGCTTCATAATACGGTATGGTTGTCTAAATCATTTTCTTATAGAATTAAGGTGACATAAGAGCGGACAATCCACTTGATGGTGAGTGAATGCTGTGGTCTCTATGGATGCTACAGGATAACAGGACTACGCTCTCATAAAACACCATCAAATAATAGCAGCATAACGCTGCCGTGTTTCCATATGATGAGTATAGAGAATCGGAGACCCTTTTTAAAGGTAACGAGGTATTTCATTTATTATATATATATATATATATATATATATATATATATATATATATATATATATATATATATATATATCCTAAGGTTGACAATGCATCAACATTCTAATTCTTAATTGAGGCTAGATCTCTTTATTCTAAAAAAACAAAGTTGGATGTGATGATTAAAGTAACTTTTCTATCGACTTCAAAAAGGAGGAGGTACTCAATTAGATTGTATGTTTATTTTTTGGATAGGGTGACAAACAAGCACACAGTCCACTTGATGGTAAGTGGTTGCTGTGGTCCATAGACATCTACATCTATCCTCGTTTCCGAATCAAAATGCAGATGCGTTGTCACCCGTGAGTACTAAGATGGAATGCCTCTTTTCCAGTAAAAAGGGTCTCCGGTTCTCTACACTCACCATACGAAACAGCAGTGTTAAGCTGCTATTTTACGCTGGTATTCTGTGAGAGCGTGGTCCTTCCCCGATCGAGCTGACCCATTTGTGCTACAACTATACTACTAATATAGCTGCAGCATGGCTCTACCACGTATAGAATGTGTTTTTATGTGTGTTACCCCATAACTTTTTTCTGGTTGAACCGATTTCGATGATGCTTTTGAAGTTATACTTCTTTTGGGGCGTTTGGGAAAAATGATGACAGTGAATTTTTAAGACGCGCGCACACCGAGACCTAAAAACGACACCATGAAGTTGTTACGATGCGCGCACTGTCACCTAAAAGCGATAACATCAATGCGTAATTGTCTCTCAAGTTTTTTTGGTTTGTTACGCTAAAGAAGTATAACTACGTGCATACATAAATACACACACACACACACACACACACACTTTTTATTAGAAAGCTGTGTGTCTCATGTGGCCCCATATAAATTTGACTAAGGTCTGGTCAATAATTTTTGAGTTATTTTTAATAATTTATATTGAAGTCGGTTCTACAAAATTTTTAATATTTAATTATTTTTTAAAATGCTTTAAAAATTAATAAGCTGGATATTATTTAATTGACTTCAATATAGTAATTTCAACACATTTTTTTAATAAAAATGTCACTATTGCTAGGAGAACTGGATTGCTGCAGTGAAGGCCGCAGATCAGCTCCACAGCACGCTGTTGGAGGTCGACAATGTGCGGAGAGTGGAGCCCGCGGCCTTGTCGCTCGTTGAACACATGTGGGCGCTGAGTGAAGCGGTCAGTTTATGCTCAATTTACATTGCGGCGGAATGGAATGGAAGTGAATTTTTGGAACGAAATTGTACATAGTGAAATTAATTTTATGTTAATTGTGTAACGTGCAAACTAGAAATGAGCCAAAAATAAAATCGCGCGTGACTTTTTTATCATTTCTAGTTTGCACGTTACACAATTAACATAAAATTCATTTTACTATGTCCAATTTCGTTCCAAAAATTCGCTTCCATTCCATTCCGCCGCAATGTAAATTGAGCCTACTTTCTATTGTATTAAAATTACACTAATGAATCCATATTTTTCTTTTTTTTTATTGATCCACAGTAGCCCGGAGATGCCAAAAGCCCTCTCCCACTGCACTGTGAACAATTTACCCGTATGTTTGTTGCTCTTTCTTCAATAAAAAGATGGGGATGATAACAGCAAAATCGAAACCGAAACAATTTGTACTTTATAAAGTAGGATATTGAGGATATAAACCCAAAACCTGCATCTTTGTACTTTGGCCATAGAAATACGTGGTTCTCGAGAAGTATCACATGTGAATAAAATGTGCATTGCCGTGTGGTAGAAGCTTAAGAGAATGCGAGTAAATCACCCCATTTTGGGGTGTCATGAGAGGCGACTATGATATAGATCTGAAAACCTTTGGGCTTTCGACCGGTAGCGATATACCATCTCGTATAGGTCGGAAGTAAAAAAAGAAAGTCGATGGGAACAACAAAGATGCAAGAACTACGCTGGTTTTTTTGCATTAATTACTTTTTGCGTTAAATACCAGTGTTTAGTAGTGGACTGTACATGGTCAGCCCATTAGAGGAAGAGAAGGACATGAAAAATAAATTATTGTTTGTGTTTTACTATTCTATTCCTAAACATGAGCAACCAAGTGGTCGACGGGTCTTCATCTCATTATTGTTGATATTGCACACAATCGAACCAAACTGTTTGCTTCGTCTATTGTTATGCGTACACCAAACGAGTGGAATTATTTTCCGTCGTCTGTCTTTCCGTTCGTGTACAATCTGGGCTTAAAGGCAAGAGTGAATAGGGTTTTGTTACGCTGATAAGTACATTATTACGCAACATACACCATCTTGGGCTTCATCACCACATACACTTACCTACATCATAGATTGCAGTCAAGCACTAATATTAAAAAAAAACAATTACAATAAAATCGATTATTGTAACATCACGTAAAATGTTAGTTGAAAAATTTTCATTAGTTTAACAGCAGTTGACATACTTCATACATATTGATTTGTTGATTCAACACCCGTTGTGGTATTTCCAGGTTAAACTACGCAGTTTTAGGGATTTCCAATAAATACGTAATAGAGCAACCGTGGTCGCGTAGTGACAGTAATATATGTATGGATATACATATTATAATAAATAAAAACAGTGAGTGGCAACTTTCGCAAATATTTCCCCTATGAGGCAATCTAGCGCTGTGGCTGTGGCATCATTGCTACCGCATCATGCTGAGTCGAATGCCTTTTCGTTGCTGCAACAAATAATACATTATTAGCGTATTTTATATTGTTATTTTTTATTTGATTTGTAGTTATAAATTCTTTTTATTATACATTATCTTGCGTGTGCCGAAAAAATTATTCATTCATTCATTCATGTATGGGAGGGGCCTGTGTTGAGCCGTGGACTTTTGATAGACAGTAAGGGTAAAGTAAAAGAGCAAGCCTGCAGTGTAGGTATTGTAGTTGTAGCGACAAATTGATCGGCACGACCGAGAAAGGACCATGGGTCGCACAGAAGAAGCAACTTATTACTGCGATATTCGTATAGCGAGTGAAGAGAACCGGAGACCTTTTTTAACCCCGACGAAAACAAGAGGCGTTTTTACGTTTGTAGTGTGTATATGTATGTCTGCATATCTGTGTATGTGTGTCTGCTGTGGCATCATAGATCCTGAACGGATAAACCGATATTGATTAAGTTTTTTTCGTATGAAAGGTGTCTTAATCGAGAGTGTTTTTAGCTATATTTCAAGAAAATCTATTCAGCCGTTTGAAGATCATCAGCTCTTTTTATTTCGGGTTCTTTTTTTTAAATTTTTAATTTAAGTTATTGATGGTAAGTGATAACGATCCACTGCTGTACATGATCTTCACGTGTGGTTAAAACTTGCACTTGATTTTTTGCACCTATTAGTACACTAATTATTAGTATAATCATTTTACTACTTACTGGTTTAATAAAACCATCCCACAAATACCACAAGATATTGCGACATTCTTTTGATTCGTCTATATTAATAAGGACATATGATTTTATTTGATCTGCCAAATGGATGATTCTCTTACTGTGCGCCACAGAGGATATACCTACGAATAATGAAGAATTGTAAAATTATTAACGTATAAATTGCTTAACACAGGTACCCGCAACCAGAGCTCCAGCAGAAGGTGCAGTGTGTGCACTAGTGCGGGGCGCTAGTAGTTCATGCACTCGCTTACTTCTACCCTCGCTGGTGGCCCGGATGGGTCGAGAGCCACCGCCCGCTGCGTTGCCGCACGCGCTGCTGCAACGACTCGCTCTACACCACCTCATAGATCTCATTTTCGATCCTGACATGATTGGAGTGAGTGTAATTATTTAATACTACGAAAGCAAATTATACAATATGTAACAAAAACCCTGTGGTTCCCGTTAAGTACGTTATCAGGATCATTATTCAAACGTATAGAAATAACTTTTTTTTAAAAACTCGAACAATAATATTTTTTATTTTATTTAAAAAAATAATTGTATGCAAATTGTATGTTGTTTTATTACCTCTGCATTGTCTGGGGAGTAAGACGATTGTCAAAGACCACGCTTTACTTAGCTTTAGCAACGGCTAGTGTCAGTAATAGGTAATAAAACCACATTAATTTTTTTTTAATTAAATAAAAAAATTATGGTCGAGTTTTTTAAAAAAAAAGTTATTTCTATAGTTTTGAATACTGATCCTGATAACGTACTTAACGGGAACCACATGGTTTTTGTTACATGTTGTATATGTCGACCTCAGTGGAACCAGAAACGATAACATCCTAACCGTTAAAATCCATTACTGGATATGGGTTCTTGCGATGTGATAACGATTTGATAGACGCATGAACGATCGCAGTAAAATACTCGTATTTAGATCATCACTTATCCAAATATTTTACGTCCGACTTATATAGGATGATATACCACCACCAGATACCACCATCTATTGGATTCAGAAGCCATGAGATCTTTCTGGCAGTCTCTTACAACATCCACGTAATAATAGAGTGGTGATGAATTTCCTTCACTCACCACAAAACGGGTAATATGTAGAAAAACTGGAACCCAAGCTAACCCAAACCTGTATTTTAGAGTACCAGGTCTCCTAATTAAACAAAGTCAGTCAGCCTCGTACCGATAAGCGTAGTTAAGTACGGCTCCCATTGAGATGTCAATTTGCAATAGCTTACTTTTTTAGCAACTTTTCTCTGATTACGATGTCTTTCCATTCTGACGGTATACTCTACTATAATTATTTACTTTACACTAGAATTATATGTAACTAATTAGAAATATATGTAATTAATATATTACTAAAACAATAATAGTAATGTCCAACAGAATCTGAATTTCGGTCACGGCAGCCAGTTTCAACAGAGACTAGCCAACTGCGCAGTTCAGCCTTACAGTGCACATGTGTGTGCGCGAACACAGGTGTACTCTCTATTTTCTCACTCTCATAGTCCAATGGGACGGATATTCGGTACAACCGGAGAGAGATCAGACGCAGGAACGACGGCTTTACGTGCTTTCCGTAGTACGGGAGTGCAAATCCACTAACTTTCTGAGTTTCTGCCTCTCTGCTAATAAGAATATCTTGATAGAAAAATCCTGTAACTGATTTTAGCTCGGCCCTGGATCACATTATTATATGTGGTATTAGGTATTTATATATGGTAGAGCCATGCTGCTGCTATATTATGGATGTGGTACGAATGGGTGGACACAACCGAGGATGGACCACGCTCTCACAGAACACCAGTGTGAAATAGCAGCTTAATGCAGCTGTATTTCATAATAGGATGAGTGTAGAGAACAGGAAATTCCATCTTATCATAGCATCTACTTACCATCAGGTGGACTATGAGCTCGTTTGTCACCCTTATTCTTTAAAAAAATCTAGGTGTGTCTGTGTCGTGGATTTAGATTTAATCTAAGGTCGTGGACACGGCTGCGTGTTTTACGTGAATAACGAAACGCCCTCAAAATGGCGGCGCACCCCCCTCCGTTAAGCGCGATGCGTCACATTTCTCACTCAACGTTGTTCAACGTAACGAATTCTTTGAACCTTTAGCTATCGAGTGGTGTAATTAAATTTCGCTCGGTCCTATGCTTACAATAAAACCAGTTGCCGAATTGTTCTTTTTTTCTGCAAAAAGAGATCTGTCACGTCAAATTAAGAAAAAGATGGCGTTACCTTTCATATAATATAAGTAATTTTTAATCATATTATTGCTATTTACTTCTTTTTAAACTTAAAAATTATAATAATTACGGTCGTGTTGGATTTGTTTACCAACACAAGCCGCTCGCCTTTATACAATATGCAGATTAGTCAAGCGACTGATCAGAGTCTGTATCCGAGTTGTCGCTGTTACCGAGCGATACTGTTATAGTGTATATTAGCCCACTCAATGAAGGAAAAATAGGGGAAATAATTCGTGTATTTCCCCTATTTGGCAGTTTTTGGTCTTCGTTGAGTGGGCTATATAACTACTATGCGTGTATGAGTTTCGTAGTGACAAACGATTGTTTTGTGTATGTAGATACCCCCCGCTAAGAGTGAATGATGTAGCAGCAACATCAAACTGTATCCCTCGATTTTGTTATCATCAGTGTTCTGAATTGCCTCCTACTTTGGAAGCAAATTTAAAGACTTATTCACGTCAAAACCTGATCAGCAGTCGCGTTTACGAGCAGTAAAGCAATGGAGCAGTAATAGTGGAACACTGTTTTTTTAAGGGTAACAAACGAGCACACAGTCCACCTGATGGTACGTGGATGCTGTAACCCATAGACATCTACATCTATCCTCGATTAAGAATCAAAATGCAGATGCGTTGTCCTCACTCCTGAGGACTAAGATGGAATGCGTCGTTTTCAGTAAAAAGGGTCTCCGGTTCTCTACACTCACCATACGAAACACAAATACACAAGCTGCTATTTCACTCTGGTATTCTGTGAGAACGTGGCCCCGGCCGAGCCGATACATTCGTGCTACGACCGTAATATATGTGCAACATGGCTCTAGCACGTAGAGGAGTGTAGGAGCAGTGTATTGTGAAATGAGCGTAAGCAGCGGTGCCGCAGGTGTCGGGCGCCGAGCGTGCGGAGGAGGCGCAGGTGCGCGCGGCGCTGAGCCTGGCGCGCGCGGCGGGCCCGGCCGCCGTGCTGGCCGCCGTGCGCCGCCAGCTGGCCGCCACGCCCAGAGCCGACGCTTTCTGTGCACAGGTCACTTGGAATCTAAATACGTATTATGAAACCTTTATATTGTCAACTAGCTGTTTCGCGTGACAACGTCCGCGTGGAATTTATTACGATTGGATTTTTAATTTTTTTACGCGGAATCCTAATTCTTTTTCTAAATCAAAAGCATCTTAAGCTATATCCTTATAATATATCTAGCTATCTGCATTGAAAGTTCAGTCAAAATCGGTCCAACAATTTCGGAGATTAGCCCGAATAAAACAGACAGACAGACAAAAATTTAAAAATATATTTTTTGTTATGAGTACCGTACCAATATACTTTTATATTAATTTAGTAAGAAGCTGTAATGTTGACATTACAATCAGACACTAAATTATATTTATTTGGATAAGATTCTAAATATTATAAAGTATTGTCAGTTGTTTACGTGGTAGAGCCATGCTATATTTGTAGTATAGTTGTAGCACGAATGGGTCGGCTCGACTGGGGAAGGACCACGCTCTCACAGAATACCAGCGTAAAATAGCAACTTAACGCTGATGTGTTTCAGTTGTAATCCTAATATTATGAAGCTTTTATATTTTATTATTATATGTACTTTGGCTTATTTACTTATTTTTATTTTTTATTGCATTCATTTCTTATTGCATTCCTTGCATTGCAGAGAAAGGATACAAAGGTCGGACTTAACGTTTATAGGCACAACCAGTTAACCCATAGTGTGGTGAGGATGAGATATAGATGTGATGACAATTTTAAATAAAATGGGCAACTAAAAAAATACGCGTATAATATCTATACATCTATACATATCAATAAAAGTGTCTATAATATCGAAATAACTGGCTTATATTGAACAGATTAGCAGGGATATTGGTATAACATTAAGACATGATGTATAACCATTTTTAATTATGCTTTATCTGTCTGTCTGGCCGTTCGGGCTGATATCTTCGAAATGGCTAAACCGATTGTGGTGAAAGTTGACGAACAAATAGAAAGCAATGTCAGTAGTGATATAGGCCATCTTTATCCAAAAAACTTTTTAATTCTTTGGATAAAATAAGTCAATGATGATTAGCTTACATCTAAATGATGCCAAATTAATAGACCCCACCTTGCTACTATTATAATAAAAGCCTATATTATAATATTAATAAAGTGAAATGAAAATATGTTTTAATTCTAGTTTTTTATTCATTTCTTTTCTAGTTGCGAGAACGTCTAAACAAACCCCTCGAGAAGATTAGACCCAGTCATTTCAGCAGGTACGATATATATTTCAGTTCTACATACTGTTACTAGTACTATACTACTACTAGTACGCTACCGGAGCATGACCCTTTCAAAGTTGATTTTTTTTTATAGAATAAGGGTGACAAACGAGCACACAGTCCACCTGATGGTAAGTGGATGCTGTGGCCTATAGACATCTACATCTATCTTCGTTTGCAAATTAAAATTCAGATGCGTTGTCACCCGTGAGGACTAAGATGGAATGCCTCTTTTCCAGCAAAAAGGGTCTCCGGTTCTCTACACTCACCATACGAAACACAGCAGTGTTAAGCTGTTATTTTACGCTGGTATTCTGTGAGAGTGGGGGGGTCCTTCCCCGGTCGAGCCGACCCATTCGTCCTACTACTATACTATTAATATACCTGCAGCATGGCTCTACCACGTATGAATATATATGATTTGTGGCTTACGCTCATATAATATTAATTTAGTACATTATTTTTCATTTTTATTAAATATTAATTACTCCTCGATTAGTTAAAGCCTACAAAAAATTAAACGCTAACTATTGCCGGCTCCGTGGCGCAGTGGCTTAGCAATGAGTTGCTGCGCTGGGGGCCGCGGGTTCGAATTCCGCTCGGAACAATTATTTGTATGGCTTGCAAATAATTGTTCCGGGTCTGGATGTTTGTCCTTGTGCAATTTGTGTTTGTAAACTGCCTCCACGATACAGGAGAACATCCTAGTGTGAGGGTAACGTTTTTTAAAAAGAAAAAATATTTATAAAAATTGCATTACATGCAAACCCTATACTTTTGATATGTACACGGTTAAAGATGGTTTTCACTTTTTTTTTTTAATGTAAAACTATTTTATTTAGCAACAGTTTAATCTTCATTGTCTTCATTATCACTATCTGCATTGATGTTGAAATAGCGTAGTTCATATGCATCATGAGCAGATGCAACCGCACGGAGCCAGTCTCGCACTTTGTTTTTCTTGAGGTATCGCTTGGTGTGCCGTTTAATGGCGGCGTAAGAGAACCATCGTTTCAATAGTCCCTTGGGTGACATAAATTGTGACTATAGAAAATATAAGAAACATCTTATGGCTTCCGATAAATTCCAATATCATATAAGGTAGACGTATAAATTCAAAAACTATATAGCAAGCTGGACGGCTACGGCAAATCCTATAACGGAAGTAGCCTTTGTCAATCTGAGGATTTAAGCGCGCTGATAAAGAAGACTAAAATTGGTAAACCATTTTTGTTCAAAAATCTTTTATATAAGCTATTGGATTTTGTGTATTTTTTGAAGAAATTTATATAAGTGCATATCGGCAGGGGTTCTCAGTTACCGGTTCCAGCGAGACGTGCCAGGTCTACCCCGCCAGCGGCGCCCCCAACCAAACCACGGCGTTTGCGACCTCTGCCTGATTCCGCTCCACTACCAAGTACGTAACATTTTTTATTAATTAATTAAATAAAATGCACTTTATTTAATTTTTTACTATCACCAGCTAGAATATTGAATTTAAAATCAAGCAAATATAATGTAAATAATGTATTTTCATTTTCAAAAATTGTGATTAAAAGAGAGCTTTTTACCCGACTGCCCCAGAGAGGTATGTGAAAATGTATGTACTTATGTATGTATGGATGTATGTGTGTATTCATTTGGCATGCCTTGTAGCCTAAACGGCTTGATGGATTTTATGAGTTATATACATAACATATGTTCTCAGATTCGTCTTAGTTGTGGAAGGTGACATAGGTATTATATTTTTTGAATTTGTTTTCTGAGTAAACTTTTTAAGGGTTAAGGGTTTGTTAGTTGACTTCGATTATTTATATCTATACAAATAAATAAAACTGAAGTGTATGTTTGTAATGTCAAAATTACAGCTTTTTACTAAATGCATATGAAAGTATATACGGTACTAATAACAAAAATACAATTTTTAAAGTTTTTGTCTGTCTGTCTGACTGTCTGTTTGTTCCGGCTAATCTCCGAAACGGCTGGACCGATTTTGACGGGATTTTCACTGGCAGATAGCTGATGTCACAAGGAGTAACTTAAGCTACTTTTATTTCAGAAAAAGTATTAGGGTTCCGCGCAAAAAAAATAAAACTCCAAAAAACACGCGGGCGAAGTCGCGTTGAACAGCTTACTTACTTACTTACTTATCTTCACGCACAATCCCTGACGGGGTAGCCAGAGAGAACAGATCGCCAAGTGTCACGATCCTTACATATCTCTTTCGCCTCTTTCAGATTCATTATCTTCTTCATACATGCACGTCTAGGTATCCGAGTACTCTTGACCCTACCCTCTTCGAGCAATTTGCTCACATGGTCTTCGAAAGTTAGTCTCGGTCTACCTCGACACCTTTTAATATTAACTTTCGCGCTATATATTTTCTTCACCATTCGGTCTTCACTCATTCGCTCAACGTGCCCAAACCACCGAAGCACGCCCTTATCAATTTTTGTGATAAGGTCATCTTTCAAACCTGCCATATTGCGAATCTCTTCGTTTCGCTTTCGGTCGGCCATAGTAACGCCGCACATTTTACGAAGAGATCGCATCTCCACTGCATTCAACTTACTTTTATGCTTCTTCTGGCATACCCAGGTTTCGCTGCCATATAACAAAGTCGGTACCAACACTGCGTTATGTATTGCAAGGCGTGCACTCTTCGCTACGCCTTGCCTTTTGACTAACGCAGTCAGGGCACCATTGACTTTGTTCCCGGCAGCGACACGCCTGTCCACATCTAAATCACATCTTCCATCCCGGCTAAAAGCACTCCCCAAGTATACAATTTCATTTACCTGTTCTAGACATTCCTGATTTACCCATATTTCACACTTCGTTCTCTCTTCGTCCCTTTCAAATACCAGAACCTTAGTTTTATTAGCATTCAAACGGAGACCTTTAATTTCACATTCCTCTTTCATACACGTGACTAATGCCTGCAGTTCTGCCTCTGATGGTGCAATAAGCACTGCATCATCAGCATACAGCAGACAATTTACTTTTATGTCACCCAATTTCACACCCAAACAGCTATCTTTCAGCTTTTGTAAACAGCTGTCGAGATACAGTATGAACAGCCAGGAAGACATGACACAACCCTGTTTTACGCCCGTTTGGACGCTAAACATGGGTGACAGGTCATGCCCTACCCGCACACAGGCTTTACAGTCACAGTAAAGAGACTGCACAGCCCTTAGCAATCGGCCATCCACACCATACCCCGGCAACAGTTCCCACATTTTCTTCCTTACAACCTTATCAAATGCTTTCTCAAGATCCACAAAAGCACAGAAAATCTTCTGGTTAACAGCCAGAAGCTTTTCCGTGATCATACGGAGAGAAAACATTTGATCCGTGCATCCTCTTCCAGGTCTAAATCCGCATTGTGCCTCCCATAGAAATCTTTCCGATTTCTCTTGCATCCTACGTGTCAAAACCTTCGAGTAAACTTTACTTGCTAAACTGGTCAAGCTGATCGCCCGATAGCACCCGCAGTCAAAATGTGAACCTTTACCTTTATACAAAGGCACAATGACTGCGGATCGCCAATCATCCGGGACATCCCCCGTCCGCCAGCACAAATTGCACAGCAGATGAAAGCTGTCCCAGACGCGAGGCCCACCATACTTGACCATTTCAGCAGTAACTCTGTCTAGTCCCGCAGCCTTACCACATTTCAAACTTCGAATCGCACGTTCAATCTCTTTCATACTGATGACCTCAGTGTCATCGAGGTCCGGGTCTGGCGTGCCAGTCACGGCGTCATCCCCGGATCCCTCACTAAGATCATCACACGCATACATTTCTCTATAAAATTCGCTCCATCGCTGCATGACGTCCGATTTTTCTGAGAGGACGTCATTAGTTCTCGAAAGCACTTTGTTCATTCTTAAGGCCGTCGCACCACTTCGGGTCCTTCCAACCTCTTTCCAGAAGAGTTTGGAGTTCTCCTTAAAGTTGTGCGACAACCTTTCATCCGCTTCCATTCTACACCTTTCACGCACTTCCTCAATCAATGCTTTCGTGTGAACTTTCTGCAGCTTATATCTTTCTTTCATCTTCTCTCTCATATCCTTATCATTACTAGAGGCCAAGTAGTCTAACCATGCTTTCTTCTTCTTCTTTACAGCTTCTTTCACTTCATCATTCCACCATGCATCTCTTCTTTTACTACTGCCTCTTTTTATTGTCCCACACACTTCTTCCGCTGCACTTACCATTCCATCCCTAAGGTTCTGCCATGTTCTTTCTACACATTCGTTTCTGCCATCGATGGTGTCAAGCTTTTCGGCTACCCTCGCATGATATTTGTCCCTAGTATCCGTTTCCTGAAGCTTCCAGCTTCGGATGCGACAGACCGACTGTGGTTCTGTCACTGTCGTCCGGTAGCGCCAACCCGCGAACAGACCCCTAAATCTAGTAATCACTAGATAGTGATCCGTTCCCAGGTCAGCACCCCTGAACACTCGCGTATCCATAACCTGTTTTCGCAGTCGGTCATCCACCAGGAACAAATCGATCATACTTCTCTCATTCTTTCTTTCTCTAGTATACATATGGATTTTCTTGTGATTAAACATAGTGTTTGTCACAAGAAGACCCTTTTCCTTGCATACCGCCAGTATAAGCTTGCCAGCATCATTAACCCTTTTATCGCCAAACTTTCCAAGTACCGACTCGTACCCTGGTCGAGCGGTACCAACCCATCCATTCAAATCACCACATACAACAATCCTTTCGTTTCCCCTAGCCAAATCTAGAACTTCTCTTACATTCTCCCAAAACTCCTCCAGCTCAGCCCTGGACGACGAAGCCACCGGCGCATAAACAGCCAAAAGGAATAACTTCGTCAGTCCCAATTTAAAGCGAACCCAGAGAAGTCTTGAGTTCACAAACTTATATTCAGTCATAACATCGACCAACCGAGAAGACAGCAGCACCCCCACTCCCTGGCAGGCGTTCTCGCTCTCCGGGACTCCGGACCATAGAGCTAACGCCCCGCCAGGGAGCTCTTCAGTACCACTGCCCTTCCGTTTGGTCTCCGACATACACACGACATCTAATTCTCTTTCTTTCATTATTTCGATCAACTCATTCGTCTTATCTCTCATGCCTCCTCTAACATTCCACGTGCCAACTCTGCACTCCGTCCTCCACCTTCCGCCGTGTCGGGCTGTGCGTGACGGGTGGCGGTCCCCATCGCCGCTTTGCGCGCTGCATTCCACACCAACGGGGACGAGCTGGTGTGCGTCGCCTTGGGGGGACGCCCTAACCCTCGTTGACATGGGTGCGCAGCTGAGTAGAATTGCAGCCCTGAAAAGGGCTGGCAGGGGTCGCGACGAGCACGCTTCTACAATGACCCCCAGTTGAACAGCTAGTATATTAATATAGTTAGTTGAATATGTTAGTTTTCTATCCGCAAGGTAATAAATTCACGTACTGCTTTTGGTTATCTCAAGTAGGTAACTGTTTTTCGATCCTCTAAAACAATTGTTGCGTAATGACCTGTCCTTCCGAAGAACGAGGTCACCATCTTTTTTCGCACGCTTCGACCTCTCTTCACTTTAGTTGGCAACTCCTCGTAAGGAAACACCCAGACAGCAGACTGTCTCTTAGTTTCAGGATCATAACAATAAATCCAGCTTTCGTCACCCGTAAGTATGTCTAACACAGTATATGAGTCATCTCCGTTAAATCTTTGAATCATTTTACAACACCAATCAACACGATGGAGTTTTTGGGCCTCTGTCAAATTATGAGTATTCACCGGGCACAAAGCTTCCTGACCGCTAAATGTTCATGGAGGATTTTGTGCACTTGACTCTTACCGATGCCGAAGCTTGTCCGAAGTTGCTGATAGTCACTTTTCTGTCCAGTCTCTATCATACGCCGCACAACACTGATGTTTTCTTCAGTCGTCGCCGTAGAAGGCAGTCCCTCACGCAGATCATCGGTGAGATTAGTGCGACCACGTTTAAACTCTTTAAACAAGTTGTAAACAGTGGCACAAGATAGGACTTTATCGTGAAAGGCCAATCGAAGTATATCGTAACTTTCTTGTTGACTTAAATGACATTGAAAGTCATAAAAAATCATTGTACGAAAATTTTCTCCCGTTAAATTTATGCTAACGTGACAGACAATTTTCAATTTGCCACCAAATCGTAAACAAATGACAAATTAATAAAATACACAGGTAGGTACACAATAATATTGGCAGAGTTCCATTTTCAAAATTTGAACTTATTTTTTTATTATATCGTTTTCAAGTAGCCAGTTCTAAAAAATTTTAATGTCGCCCTCGTATACTTAGCCCATTGGACCTTCACTGCACGTGGAAATTAAGAAAGTGTAAAGCAATATAGTATCACATACAAAGATCATTTTGTATCATCTTTTATAATTTTTATGCTTTTCTCAGGTACAACTCAACCGGGAAGAGATTTGATACTGAAACCCTTATCACCGATTGCATTAAGTGATAGGTAAGTGTTAATTACTCATTTTATTCCACATACAAATTTTATAACAGCAATATATATTATTTTGAAATTAATTTTAATAAGTAATGGCTACACTCTACTCTGTAACAGATTTACTCAAACACTTGTATTTACGTAGATAATCAGATTAACCTTTACCTACATCTATTCGTGTTAACTGTTAATCCCATATTTTCACAAAAAAAATGTTTCGGAATTGCGATAACCAAAAATAAGATGGATGCCATTCTAATATCAAGTTTGTTCGAAAAATCCTTTGCCACATTTTTGTATGTTTCTCTTTTTTCTGTTTCTTTATAGAATACAAATATATATATAGTAATAATTTATGTAATTTATAATAAATATAATATATCTCGAAGTTTTGAAATAGTATTACATGGCTTGCACCATTGATTGTTTATGTAACTAAAACCAAAAACGTTTTCGAAACATAGAATCTCGGACGTGTTACTGCTATTTACAAACGCCAATTTCGAATCCTAATTTATTACTAGTGGCAATGAGTGGAGGCAAAAGCTATCGCTAGAAATATTTATAATGCATTTAAAGAAATATTAGTAATTTATTGATCTACAGTAAATATTTGGTTTGACCGCTTTCATGAGAGAGACTATACGAGTCTCGAAGATCAACGTTGGTAGGGGCGACATACGACGTCGGAAAATAAAGCTTTATTTTCCAGCTTCGTTCAAATATTTAAGTGTCGCTTAATGGGACTACAAGAGCTAAATGACCTTGAATGATGCACGCACACATTTACCCAATTTTGGCCTCTTGAGTCACTTGGCTTGGCTTGGATGGCCACTTGAGTAAATAAACGGAACAGAGACAAAGCTTTCTAAGAACGTGCAAAATTGTTAACTATTTTTGTAGGGTTGTCACAATAGGTGAAGACAATTAAACAAAACAATATCCATCATATTATTGCATTGTCACTGAAGTTACGATATACAAAATTTTAACTCAATCAAACATCGCGAAGTGGTTCAAATCTTACTTGCAAAATGTAACTTAGCCTACCTACTATATACCAACCCACCCACATATCTACCAATACAGTAAAACTTGGTTATGTGGAACCTGAATAAGTAAGAAACCTCCATAGCTGGAACTCATGCTTACTAGTTCTTATTCTACCGGCAAATTCCGCACTTGGCTAATTGTGTAGAAGTGACCTCCAATGTTAGTTTAGTTTTGTTATCATCCGGATGTTTATGTTTCAAAGGTGTTAAACTTTCCCTGTGAATTACCAAAATAATCAAAAAGGTTTTTATTGTTCATATAGATTACAACTCATGTATAATGTTTACAAAATACGTTTTATTATTTAATAATCACACCTCTATAACTGAAATGACCTCTATTCTCACCTCTATTAATGGAACCCTCTGTAAATGAGACAGATATTTATTTATACCTGGATATCTGAGACACTGGGTAAGTGGAATACCTCTTTAAGTGAGACAAATTTGCAGGTCCCTTAAGGTCCCAGTTATCCAGGTTTTACAGTATTTAGTAAAATTTATTTTTATTTATTTACTTAGTACTTCTTGGGATAGTTAAAGTATGATATATTTTTATTTTTTCTAGTATTATTATACACACAGTACAATAAACATTAATAATACCACGTTTTTACATTAAAATATTGAAACTTGCAATTAACAAAACAAACAACGTGCTTCGCACTGACCCTGAGATTGTTGTGCACTGGCTGTGCCAGTGTAACCGGCTTTTTCCAGTCACGCCGCATACGCGACAAGCGGCCAGTGGTCACGCACACATGCCCTGCGTGCTTGTAGTAGTGCAACCGATTTGCGCGGTTGTATGAAGCTTTATCTCTATTTATTTACTCATGTAGCATGGCTTCGGCCGGCACTGTCAGTACACAGGCGTTTTCGCACACATGCGTAGGTACGTATTATGTTCAGAAATAAAACATAAACACTCACGTCTGTCACCCAGTGGGCTAGGCAGACACTATGGACTTCAATTTGGCACGATCCTGACACAGACAGGGTGTAGAGCCCCATTTACTCTATTTCCTGCGTTCACTCGTCGTTCTATATCCTTATCATATCTACCATCCCTGCTAAATACACATCCCAAATACACAAACTCATCTACTTGCTCGACCAAATCCCCTTCTATTCTTATGCCACACATCGTTTTATTTTCTTCTCTTTCAAAAACTATAACTTTCGTCTTACTTGCGTTCACTTTCATTGCCTTTTCTTTTAATGTCCTGTTCATTAATTTTACGTGGTAGAGCCATGCTTTTTTATAGGATAAGGTGACAAACGAGCACACAATCCACCTGATGGTAAGTAGCTTCTGTGATCCATTGACACCTACATCTATCCTTAATAAAGACTCAAGATGCAGATGCGTTGTCACCCGTGAGGACTAACAGGAATGCCTCTTTGCCAGTAAAAAGGGTCTCCGGTTCTCTACACTCACCATACGAAACACAGCAGCGTTAAGCTGCGATTTTACGCTGGTTTTCTGTGAGAGCGTGGTCCTTCGCCGGTCGAGCCGACCCATTCGTGCTACAACTATACTACTAATATAGCTGCGGCATGGCTCTACCACGTAAAAATGCTGCAGCTATATTACTACACTTACTTACTACAGCGTAAAATAGCAGCTTAATGCTGCTGTGTTTCGTATGGTGAGTGTAGAGAACCGGAGACCCTTTTTACTGGAAAAGAGGCATTCCATCTTAGTCCTCACGGGTGACAACGCATCTGCATTTTGATTCGTAATCGAGGATAGATGCAGATGTCTATGGGCCACAGCAACCACTTACCATCAGGTGGACTGGGTGCTCGTTTGTCACCCTTATCCTATAAAAATATTAATGTAACCATCATTTGCAACTCGGCCACCGACGACGCAAGTATTGACTACAGACTTGATCATCGGCGTACAAAAGGCATTTGACGGTTAACTCACCCATTCTTAACCCGCATTCCAAACCACTGTCCATAAATAGGTTGAACAGCCACGGGAAGCCACACAGCCCTGTCTGACACCTTTATAGATGCCAAACCAGTCCGAGTAGGCCCCGTTGATCCTGATACAAGCACTAAAGTCCCTATACAAAGACTTCAATACCTGTATCAACCCAGCGCTCAACCCAAATAAGTTCAGTGTTTGCCATAACACATCCTTGTCCACTCTGTCATAAGCCTTTATCAAGTCCACGAACGCACAAAAAAACTTTTTGGTTTTTGGCCAAAAACTTCTCCGCGACCATGCGTATAAAAAGACCTGATCCGTACATCCCATTCCCTTCCTAAATTCCGCTTGCACATTCCAAATTTTTACATCAGTTTCTTTCATTACTCTTTCAATTAGTACCTTAGCATAAAGTTTTCCTACAATGTTAAGAAGGCTGATACCACGGTAGTTTTTACAGTCCTGCTGTGATCCTTTTCCCTTATATATTGGGACTATTACGGCTTTGCACCAGTCTCCCGGTAACCGCTTAAGTTCCCAACATAAATTAAACAAGGTATACAGCAGGTCTGCCACCACTCCTTCTCCAGCCCTTAGCATTTCGAGAGATACTCTATCATATCCAGCTGCCTTACCTGCTTTCATACTTTTTATTGCTTTCATTATTTCATCTATACTTATGTCTCTATCTATTTCCTCTTCTTTCGGAATTTCTATTTTATTTAATTCAAACGTCTCATCACTTATAAACACGCTTTCAAAGTATTCCTTCCATCTCCTTAAACTCAAAACTTCGTTATTCAGAATACAGTCATTCTGGTCTCTTATAGCATTCATTCTATGCTGTTTTGAATGTGGCTTGGCAGTTCTTACGAGTTTCCAGAACATTTTAATGTTTGCCTGGAAGTTATCCGATATTCTTCTATGATTCTTATCCGTTCTTTCTTGCTTTTTCCTTTCATCTACTTCTTTTACTCTCTTATTTAGATGTCTAAAGACTGTCCTTTTCCTCTCTATATCATCATTCATACCGCTAAAATTACTTGCCTTGGTTGCTAGTAAATCTAGCCATGATTTCTTCTTTGCTTCAACTTCCATCCGTATCTTATCATCCCACCATAACGTGTTATTGTTCCTTTCATTCGTTCTCTTACTTACACCACATACTTCGGTAGCTGCATCCACCAAACCTTTCTTGACATAATACTACACAGTCTCCAAGTCTAAATCATTCATACACAATTCAGCAATACCACTTATATTTTCTCTCAATCTACATTTGAACTTCTCTTTCACACCTTCGTATTGTAACCTCTCTGTTCTTATACGCTGTAACACAGTGGTAGACACAGATGTCCGCTGCCGTCAACGTCTGAAAAGACTATTAATTCGGCATAAGACCATGTAATGGTCCGTCCCTACGTTAGACCCCCGGTAAACCCTTGTATCTACCACCGCGCTTCTCATTCTTTCAATAACAATTATGAAATCTATCATGCTTCTATCATCACCTCTTTCCTATATATACATGTGAATCTTCTTATGACGAAAGAAAGTGCTCGTCACAAAAATATTTTTTTCCACACATACGGTGAGGAGGCTTTCACCATTCTCATTTATACTTTCATCACCAAACGTTCCCAATATATTTTCATAACTAAGGCTCCTCAATCCACAACCCTTCCATTAAAATCTCCTAATATCACAATATTTTCATTAACCTTGCATTTCATTAGCACCATTCTTACCAACTCCCAAAACTGCTCTCGGATATAAGTGGGCTTAGACATGTCTGGGGCGTAGACCCCTAGAACAAACAACTTCTTTAAGCCCACTTTCTTTCGTATCCATAACAGTCTCGGGCTTACACCTTCATACTCTTTCACACAATGACCCATTCTTTCTGAAAGGATTATACGAGTACCGACTCCCTGGCATGCCCGCTCGGTCTTGTCTACACCAGATCAGTACGCGGTATACATGCCATGTGTAGTTGCATCCTTTCCCTTCCGATTCGTCTCATTTACACATAACACGTCTATTCCTCTATCATACATCATATCGCATACTTCATCCATCTTATTCATACATCTTATTCATTGCTCCAAATACATTCAATGTAGCCAAACGGGCTTTCGCAATCCACTTGTCGCCGTTCCGGGGGACAGAACGTAACGGGTGGTGAACCTCGTCGCCGGTTTTCCTCCCGGAGATTTTTCGCACAGAAATAAGGATATGCGATTTAAAGAAAATCTATTGATTGGACTAAAAAATTAAAACACTATTACGTAAAATTTTTGTTTGTGGAATAATCTGACAAAAAATCAGAATAATTGTGTGGCGCGATGACAGCGCCGCCCACGCTCCCCAGGCAGAACACCTTGCCCGCCGGGAGATCTTCCCTTTCCCTTCCACCGGCCACAATTGCATGTATATTAGTATGGTTTTTAATCGTTAAAAGATTTTTTTAGAGGATCTTTGTGATTTTTTTCTATCGTATCAAATTAGTAGCTCCTGTAGTCCCCTCACGCTAGGGTTTACCTGTCAGGTTTGCCTGTATATTTAAATCCGTCGGGTAAGTTTCAGCTGAGTAGAGGATATACACGTAGCGGTTATGCAACATACACGCTCCGGTTTACCTGTAGTTCAATTGTACAGGTAAACCTAACGGAAAAGGAGAAAAAAAGAGAAACCGCACGCTCTTCGCGAAATAGCATAAACAATCGGCTGCAGCAATTACTAAACTAAATACCATACCTGTCGAGACGTCTGGTACTGCAATCTCCAATCCTGGAGAGTCTCATGTCTAGCGGTGGATTTTTTCGTGCTGATGAAAAAAATATGGATTATTATAATATTGATTAAAGATGTAGGTTCAAAACTTCTTGTAATATAGTCATGTGGAAAAGTAGACCTTGGTACAATGAGAATTAATGCACCTGTCGTAGTTAAACGATGAGTGGGTGTTTTTCATAGGCGATGAACGGCGTTTAAATAATTATATTTTTCCCTCGGGTTTTAGTGATAATAATACATGACCACAAACTCAAAGATGCGGGGTTTGAAACCTTGCCAAATGCATTGTCTTTTTACACACATAGGCTCTCAGACGAATATTTTTTTTATTGGTCTGAATATAGGCTTTCACGTGTATTTGTATTCGTGTACACTGTACTTGTTACTTTACATAAAAAAATATATCCAATAAAAAACCACTGCTATCACATATCTACTCATGTGTTGCTTTTTTTGGCGACATGAATAGGCAAGAGGGTGCTACCTAGACTTAGTCATATAAAAAAGTACTACCACTGTCAATGCATGTCTCAAAAATAACAATTTTAAGAACATGTGAAATTCGCCAAATCGCATTGCGTAGCAAAATGCTTAAAAAATTAGAGGAGGCTTTTGTGCACAAGGCAGAGTATATTTTACTTGCGTTCATCAATGAGACATGATGTCTGATATTACCTACTATTATTTAGATAACCTACCTGAAAGGTAAAGAATATTTCGAAAACCTGCATATAGAAACCTAGTTAGTAGCAATTTACAATCAACATTTGTAATCTTTTGACTTTATATGGTGCGCATAAGCCTAGTATCTTTAAATGTTTTATATATTTCCATAATTATCATGTTATTGAGCAGACTTAATGCCTTATGGAATTCCCTCTATGTTAGTGTTTGACAAATTATAGTTAAAAACATGGAAATATAGGTACACATTTTGTTTGTTGAATAATTTAACATATTTATAAATATTGCTTACCGCCAGACGCCGGTACTTTTCGAATGCTAATTACCTACCTATGGGTCGACTACCCCAATACAGCGGTCTAATAATCGATTGCTACAAGTGACTAATCGTAACAGCGTAATTGACATTAACTTAAAATATACATGAGCAAGCTAGATATAAGTAAGTAATTAACTTACTATTTTATATATTATGCTTATGCGTAAGAAATATCGACCTTGTTTCTAAGGAATTTCCAACAATAGTTGTTAATAAAAGCGATAGTAATTGTAAAAGGTTGAAGGTTAAGAAAGGGCCAAAGTTTGGATGGGTCGTTTCGTAGCAACGCAATTAAAGATATACCAATACGTGCGGTTCCTCTGATTCATAAAATCAGGTTAGTAGGACGCTTATCCAGATTACTATAACAGGGGTTTTTTCAGTTTATTTCATATTATTAATTTGATCATTATCACGCCGAGACCCGAGACGGAGAGAACGTGTTGGCAGAGTTTATAGTTATAATGTCCCCTAACACGAACGCACATTAAAAAAGTAACAGACGTGTGTACCTATAATTGCGTGACACCACTAACCTACATTTATAAGCTAAAATAGCAGCTCGACATCCATTCAGAGCGTTTATGTACGACCTATTTAAACTATCGTCAGATCGCTCTACTTTGTGATGGGCAAACACTCGGTAATAGGTCTCAAATTGAAGCAGTAAAAGTTTATAGAAATTTAATGTATCTAGAATTCTTAACGTAGTTTCAGTACCTATTTACAATAGGTTGCAACCACAGAAATCGTAATAATAAATTTCTGTGGTTGCAACCAAAGATTATATATTTTAGAATCACAACGTTTTACAATTAGATATACCTAGTTTATTTTTAATTTAAGAAATGGTAATGTTAATATGCAGATACAGCGTTATTTTTTCAAGTTTTAAACTTGACATTAGCTTTTAATCTAACAACTCGAGCAGGCGTTATTTACATAATATGCAGGTAGTGTTTGTTGTGAGTTCATCAACACGCCTACATACGGCAGTAGATTGCGGAGAGTCATGTGCTAGGGTGTCGAATGGCGAGGTCGGGGCGTCGCGTAAAGAGTACTTTATAGCGTCGCGTCAGTCGCGGAGGCGTCTCGGCAGCGGGCATGCGATTGTGTTGCTTTTACTGCCGCGCTCGCAGCGCTTCCGTGCACCCCGCGCCCGACCTCGTCGCCGACTTGCCCCCACACACACGGTACTCCACCGCCCCATATTCCCAACCCTATGATCCAAATATAAAGTTATTTCATTATACATTTCTTTACAGAGATTCCAGTGCTTTTACAAGCAATGCTGAAGAGAAGGAATCGAAAACATCTATTGAGAATGAGCAGAAAGTTCCGGAAAGTGTAGATGATATAAAGGAAGAAACACAAGTGGAGGATGTAAATTGTATACCTACACCGCCACGTTCCCCTTCTCTTCATGTAGAAGAATACTCAGAAAAGTCAAACCAATCGCTACAAAGCGTCGACATTAAAAATGATGAGTCAACAACAGAAATAAATAACACAGCGGTTGAGCCACAAAAATCTACAGAAGCAACTGAATCATTAGAACTTGAACACGTCAGCGGAAAATCGTCCGTCGCATCTAAAAGTAGAAGCGAACCTTCAAGCCCAATTCGAAGCGGGCGGATATCGCCTGAACTTTTCAATGACGAAAACAGCGGTAGACGATCGCTCAGCGAGCGGGATGTACGGTCAGCACTCGCGGAATGCATTATGCCAGCGCGGCACGAAGATTGGGAGGCGATCGTAACCGGATTAATGGAAACAGAGCGATTGGCAATGGATGTTACTGCACGCGCCCCCGCTAGCAGTTGGCGGGCTGCGGCCCGATCAGCTTCGGCTCATGTTCGCTCGTTACGGTCCAAAGTAGCAAGAGCGGCGTGCTCTACATTAGGAACGTTATTTGAAAACCGCGGACGAGTGCTCGATCCAGAGCTAGACGAAGCTGCGGGTGCTTTGTTAGAACGTTGCGCTGATGTAAATAGATTCTTACGAGCGGACGCGACCAGTGCTTTAAGGCGACTCGCTTGCGGCAGCGGTGAAGCACGAGCAGCTGTCGCTTTAGCTCGTAGGGGTGCGACACACCGAGCGGGACCGGTTCGAGCGGCTGCCGCTCAAGCCCTATCGGCTTTGGTACGCCATAACGGCGCTTCAAGGACTCTAGACATGGCCTCTGAACCACGGACGATGCTGCTACGAGCCGCGGGTGAACTCCTAGGCGATGCCAGTCCAGAAGCGCGGGCACACGCGAGGCATCTTTGGCTCGCGCTTTCGGAGGATTCGCGCTTTCCACAATTGGTTAAAGACGCAATGCCACCAACTCGGTACAGAGCTATAGAAAAATACGTTGACAAACTCCGTTGTCGGTAATATTGGTTGTTGTGTAGTAGTTATCTCAATATTTTTGTACGATTGCTAAATTTAATATCTCCTACAAAGCAATATTTTTATTGAAATTATAGCTCTTTATTTCTTCAACGTTTTAAATGTAAATAACATTTTTAATTTTTATATGTTTCGATATTTTATAATCTACTTTTAAAAATACCATTTCTAATTAATCATCTGACACTCAGAGAAACGAATACTTCTGTGATCTGTGACCCGACTCCGCAGACTGCAGGTATCCTCTTTTTTCTTTAGAGACTTAATCCGAACAAATCAGCTCTTATGTTTTTTTTTGTATGTATAAGTAATTAATATACATGGCACAGGAAATTATTACTTATAAGTAAGTAAGTAAAAATATTATAAAGAATCTCTCTGAGCCGCCCAATATTAATGTTTACCCTGAGTGATTTGCACTTATTTCTCTCTCCATGCTATCTAAATGATAATATAATTATTCGAAAATGTTAAATAGGAGCGAAGATAGTTATTATACTGTTAATTACCGACTGAATTGTGCGAAAGGTATTTTGTAGCAATGGAATTAATAAAATTATATTATATACCTTATATTTGAATAACTAATGTAAGTGAAATAATTTATTTAATTCATTATTAGGTTAATTTATACGTTTATTACTACTTAATGATATAATTTGAATTTATTTTATATATTTTGTTGAAAGAATTGTCTTTAAAGAGGATAATATTGTATATTTATATACCTATTTCATAGTTAATTTCATTTTCCTCACAGTACTAGCTGCCAATATTGTATGGATAATCCATAAACTATAGATGGATGTTATTTAATGAGATATTGTAATGTTTATAAAATATATTGTATATTTAAGGTGCATGTTTTATTATTTTTTCTTCGTCATCGACCCGTTTCAGACCTCTACTGTCTACTGGACGTGTGAGCCTCTTTTCTCTCATTGTAAATAATGTCCTCCAGACCAAATTTCAGTTACCGCGGCTAGTCTCCGCGGAGACTAACCATGTGGCGCAGGACTGGATTCTAGTGCCCAAGTGTATGCGCAATCAACGATGAATGAGGGCTAATAATTTTCTGCTCACCAGATGTCGCTAGTTGACACTGAGGTAAAGTTTTTTGTTACACAATGTCATTTAATTGAGAAGTTGGTTTTTAATAAAAGTTTATCAGTTTCTAAAGTATTATATTAATACACAAAACAATCCGTCACCCGTGTCCGTGGTTTGCTCTTTAATTTTTTGGATTTTTATAACTTTTTTTATAATTTTTCTACTTTTATGAATATCTGTGGTTTGGGTTATGTATTTATTTTTAATCTTATTAATATGAAATGTAGCTAATAGTACAGAAAGAGACAATAACTTTTAGATTTTTCGAACAAATTAACTTCCCCAATATGAAATCTGTCAAATATTATACCTCACTTTCTAGTGGCGCCGCCCTGGTGGCAGAAAAAATCGTGGATGCCCTCATTCTCTACTCCCTCACTTTCATAATGCGGTGGGACGGTTATCCGACACGACCGGAAAGACATCAGGCACAGGACCAACGCCTTTACTTGCTTTCAGAGGTATGGGGGTGAAACGCCGCCAACTTCCTGATTCCAGGTTGTTACTAAAAACATCTTGACATAAAAAACCAACCCGGGATTCGAACCCGGTACCTCATGATCAGCGGTCATGTTAACTACCACCAGACCAACGATGTGGTCACTCATTGAAGGAAGAATTGTTATAACTACAGCATCATAACCCTTGTCATAGCACAAGAAATAGTTTCTGGGTATATTCCTGAGCCAATAAAAGATCAATAATGTACTACTAATACTCGTAAGGCGGAGTAAGGTATGATTTAACGCTACTTACATTCGGTAAACGTAATTAAATAATTGTTATTGCGCTTACAATTTAAAAACAATATATTCCATTTTACTTGATAGAGCTATATGGCTGCACGAATGGGTCGGCTCAAACGGAGAATGACCACGCACTCCAGGATACTAGCGTAAAATAGCACCTCAATGCTGATGTGTTTCGTATGATGAATGTAGAGAACCGGAGACTCTTTTTCGCGGGTGTTTATAAGCAAATCATCAATTATACCGTCGTATGAAATCTTGTTATTTAGCTGTCTCTATGCACGGAAAATCTAAAGGCGTTTAGCTTTTTTTGGCTTATGTAGAATTTTTCACCCGTTTTAAGCAAGAACTCTTTCAACCGAACGTTTTTAGTAGCTGGTGTACATAACCATGCGAACTGCTGTATCAAAGTTTGGATAAACGTTTACTAATTCGGATACGAGTCTATCAATGAGGAAGAGAAATATGTTAACCTTGAAAATATCACTCGTAGTTATTCTCATTTCTTCATTGGGTATTTGATTTTTTTCCTATTCGGATGTCTTTTGTATACTGCTTAGACACGCTTTATACCATCCCTTTTTCTTCGAAATACTTAAATTTTTCTCGTACCGCTACGAAATACCTGAAAAGAGATACGTAAACATCGACAACAGTGATGAAATCTACCGTAGAAACCTGAATTTGTTCATTCACTTTGTTTATTCTTTGCAAAAAACATTCCACACAACAACCATTACCGCCATTTTCAGTTTTTCTAAATTCAAAAGTATTCCCGTCGCTTCGTTTCGAGTTACTTTTAGGCTTTTCGGTACAATCAATCAAATATGATTCCAAAGTTTTAAGGACTTCGTACCAAGAATATATAAAACTCCCACATGAATCCTCTCTAGCTGACCAACGTGTCAGATTTACTCTCTTTAGCGTTTTCCCTTTGTCGATTTCAGTCATTACTTTTTGCCAGAGTTGTGTCAAACTTACATAAAAAACTTAGATTTTTTGAAGTGAAGAAACGACAAGCTTCTGTGCAACATTCAGCAGCCGCAGTTGCCACTGAATATAAAGAATGGGCAGAGTAAGGAACGAAAAAAGTGTTTTAGTTACTAGAAATTGGCAGAAAATATTTCTTCAGCTTTCCTTTTAAAATTAAAATCTCTTTAATTTTTGTAAGACTTATAAAAAAAAAATTGCCTCTAATTTCTTCATTACAGCCTTTCATAAGTCCACTGCTGAACATAGGCCTCCGCCAAGGAATGCCGCAAAGCACGGTCCTGAGCCACCTGCATCCATCGACTTCCTGCATGTTTTACCAGGTCGTCACTCCATCTAGTGGGGGGTCGCCCTACACTTCGCCTACCGGTACGAGGCTGCCACTCGAGAACCTTTATTCCCCATCGTTTGTCGGTTCTTCGAGCTATATGGCCGGCCCACTGCCACTTCAGCTTACTAATCCGTTGGGCTATGTCGGTTACTCTGGTTCTACTGCGGATATCCTCATTTCTAAGTTTATCACGCAGAGAAACCCCGAGCATAGCCCTCTCCATAGCTCGCTAAGCGACCTTGAGTTTCCTCATACGGCCAGCAGTGAAGGACCACGTCTCAGATCCGTAAGTCTTCACTGGCAACGCGCACTGGTTGTACAATTTCGTTTTCAGGTTTTGAGGTATGTCTAACGAGAAGATGTGTCGTAGTTTCCCGAACGCTGCAGATTTGAATCCGTTAGATTACAAGATATGGCAACACTTGGAGGAAAAGGCGTGCTCAAAGCCTCATCCCAATTTGGAGTCACTCAAGACATCCTTGATTAAGGCAGCCGCCGATATTGACATGGACCTCGTTCGTGCTGCGATAGACGACTGGCCGCGCAGATTGAAGGCCTGTATTCAAAATCACGGAGGTCATTTTGAATAAACTTTAGTGTCATAAGAATCTATGTTTTGTTAAGTTAATTTTGGTATATAATTATTTATTAAGATAGGATAAAATTCTACATAATACTTAATTTTATCTACAATATTAAAAACTATGATAATAAAAAAAAGCTAAAACTAGAAACTTAATTATCATATAGTCCTACTCCGCGCGGTATCGTGCCAAGAACGCTGACTGCGTTTCCCCCCTTAATGGCTATACTTAGCCTTTGAGCGAGGAAAGAACCAGCCCTCTTATCACCAGCCGCGAATGGAGTTCCTTTAGGAACTCCACCGCACGTGGACCCCACGGACCGATAGTCTCTCCAGCAAATGGCACAAATATGTAGTCATCTCTCAGAGACTCATATTTGCGCCACTTACTCAGTTCAGCTGCCTCTGGTGCCGCCCCGACTTTAAACGAGGTACCCCTGAGATGAGAGGCCGCCAGGGTGTCTACGCAAATAGCATCCCACACTAGGGCTTTATCTCTCTCCCAAGGGACCAAAATGTCATACCGTCGGGTCTCTTGCCATCGTCTCTAAATATTCCACAAGGCTCTAATACCGAGGGAACATTTATAGAGGCAAGAGCCCTTCGGATGACATCGTTCAAAGAACTGTGTCGTGAAAACCTACCAGCGCTTTTCTTACATGAATGCGCAAGCTTTCCCTATCAAGTAATGTGCCGAGATTACTTGATAGTAAAGCGTGTAACCAGTGACTAAATTCCTTAGTCGAAACAGCTAGAAGGCGTGCCTTATCTTGGTCACTATGGAAATTATGAAACAAATCCTTCTGCACGCCCTGTACCAACGGAATATCCGTTTTTGTTGGTTAACTTCCAGTGGAATATTTTCACCAGGACAGAGCGTTTGCCATGTCTGCCCTGCCACCGTAGCAAAGCATAGGTCTACTTTATTATTTAAAATTATGTTACGTAAGTCACTGACACTATGCACGGAAGCAAGGAAAGCAGGCAATGCAACGCTAGAAAGATTTCTCACACCAATGCCACCAAATTTTATAGGTAAAGTAGAGTCCAGGCTGTTGTATTTAAAGTTAAATTTAGAATTTTTTCTATAGCTATTTTAAGATTATTATCAATATCTTGTAAAATATCCGAACATTTCCAGACTGGACTCGAGCGGAGTAAGTATGTAAATCTAGGTACAAGAAGACAATATTTTAAAATAGTAAGAGCTATGTGGGGGTTT